GAAAGGGGAAGGGAGAGTGCACTTGGGAATAGGGTTCAGATGTTGATATGGATGTCTCAAACCATGACAACCATGCGACGGCTACAGATGGCCGCCGATGCCTGCGCTCGCCGCTGTACATCGCTACGTCACAGCAATCAAGGCGAGCAGCACGCACGAGCAACCTGCAGAGATCGGTCAGGAGTATCATTGGCGAAGAGACCTTGGCGTCTCACCTGCTCTTCTGTCTCTTGATCTCTGCACAAGCGATTCACGGACAGAGTCGTGCATAGACGGAGGCCTCTGCTATAATCACGAGAAGTGGTGCGAGCGGGGCCTTCTAGGAGAGCGGAGTATCATGTCACGGATGTTCCAGTGATGAGACAGCCCAAGCCCTGTCTCCTGCATGTTCATGCAGGCAAGTCCTTGGGAGAAGTAATTACCTGCACGCAATCGCGCTTTCAAGCGCACGCGCGGTGAAAGTCTTTCTACTCCTGTTCTATCAGACCCTCGCTTGGGCAAATATGAGCGGTGTGTATGGCATCGATGGTAGCGCTTCCGTAAGCGCTGCTTGCTGCCTGTCCATGAAAAGCAAATGGAGAAGAACAAGCAACGAGGCCATGGCGTGCATTGGCAACTCGCCTCTTGCTGCTCCCTCCGCCGGGGCTCCTCGAGCGCCTGCTGCTGATCGCGTAAAAACGCGTTAATTCGCATTTCAAGAAGCACGCTAGTGCGCGTGCGCTGTGTCGTGCAATTCAAAGACTATTCTTCTGGCGCACCCCTGCGGCTGGACGACGCAGGCAAGTCAATCGACCGACGCGATGAATATGTTTGTGACCTTTGGGATGAGCACAAAAGCCGAGCGTCAGTTCGACCTTTGGGCAAGTGAGGTGTGAGACTTCTCCACGTCCTCCGACCCCTTGTCTGGCAGCTCAAAGTCCAAGCGACCCACACTTCCCAGCCCGGGTCGGCTCCACCTGCGGAATGCCCGCGAGCTTGCGCTCGCGGCCGAGCTTCGCTGAGCTTCAAATTTGCTTGATGACAGGCAACAAACAGAGATTCCGGCAGCTGACTTTGTCGGAGCTGACGACTGAGGCTGTCTCAGCGTTCGAAGCAGCAGATGGACGAGGCCCAGCGGATGC